GTGTGTGTGTGTGTGTGGGGGATTCAAAAGGCATGACAGCTGATGTTGGAGAGGCCAAAACGGGGAGGATGGTATTTGGAGCCTTGAGGTTAGAGGTGTGCATTAAGTTATAGCAGGGGAGGACTGGAGGGGAATGAGAGCACGTGAGGGGTGACGGGTGAGGGTTGGGTGAGCAGGTTGAGGATTTGAAATGAGTTGAAGTAGAAAGAGGGTGTGATGGAAGTAATTAAATAAGAAGCTGCCGCCATGCCGCAATTCTTAAGCTATTTCCTCCTCCTCCTCCTCCTCCTCCTCATTATTCTTTTGAACGGATTAGGGGCCAAAGCACAGCTCTATAGCCCACTTATGCTACAAAGCCGACTTGGAAACAAACTGCAATCTTACTAAACCATATGCTATTCCTCGAAATGGAAAAAGCAGAACAGCCGTAAATATCTGAGTAAACAAATCACTGAACGAGAAAAAGAAAAAGCTGTGATCTGAGTTTGGCTTTTGTTTGCAGAACTGAATGTGCTTTAAATTAAAGCCTTGCTTATATTATTACATGCTTATGAATTCGGCAATTAGTGTATTCGCAATGTATCCTACATTTTTTTAATTAAAAATGGAAATCGTGTCAATCAAGTGACAATGCCTGGGGTCATTCAATTAAATGAGAACAATTTAAATGAAACACGAACACCAAAACCAGCCAAAACGGAGGTCGCTAGAAATAAAATGTAGTAAAAATATAAAAACTAAAGTCAACTGTGAAATAAAACAAAAAGGAACCATGAGTTTGCTTTCAGTAGTGTCCGCCGTGAATTAAAAATGTCACGTCTACATGATTGGGGCAGCAAAAAAGGAAATGAGCTCTACTCAGGCAGAGGTTGTAAACAAAGCAGTACTGCTGCCAGAGCCGGCCCGTATTCAGTCGTTACATCCCAGAGTCTGCTGCCTTCCTGTGTGTGGACAGGCGAGGGAATCCCCTCTGGTAATGATGCCTTCAGACCCCGTCTTTCTGAGAGCACTTACCCATCCATCAGTGGAGGGCTGCGATGGAGAGCACCCCACTCTCCCATCCTTAACCCCACTTCTGCATCTACAGCCGAGCTTTGAATTGGTTTTGGGGGGGGGGTGAAAAGTGGTAAAAGCCAATGTGTGTGAGAGCAGATCAAAGCAGCACCGGCAGCCTGCGACACACTGCAGAGAGCCGGTCAACACCATAACAACCCAATTTCTGCCCTTTGCGCCGCTCACAAGAGAGCATATTGATCTACTCAGCTGACGTTACAAGGCCGTCGGATTTGCATCGGCTGCAGGAAGATGAGAGCTGTTAAGAGACTGTCAGACAGACTGGCTGTCTCTACAGAGCTCAGATCACAGTAAGAAAGTGCTGGAGCCTGCATCAGCGTCCATCCGTCAGTCTGCACACAGGAAACCTCTGATGACCCACATTGGAAACACCACGAGAACGCACTTGTCAGCCACACAAATCGATTGATGTGTGATAATGGCTTTAATAGCCAGAAGATCCACAGAGAAACGCATGCTTGTGTGTGTGTTTCTGTGTGTGTGTGTGGAGGGTTACTCTGCTGCTGAGACAAAGCCCCCTAACCCTGGTGCTCCTACCTCCTCCGGCCCCCCCAACGCGATGCAGGGGTATGATGCCCCATCCCCCGGGAGCGTGCTGTCCTCCTGCAGGATGTTGCTCTTCTTTGTCTGCCTGACTGAGCGGCTGACTGAGTGACTGACTGAGCGTGTGCAAGCGTGTTTCTGTGCTATATCCGAACCCCCAGCCCCTCTCGTCTACCCCCCCAACTCAAAGAGAGCTCGTCGTCCCAGCATCAACACCCGACTCCACCAACCAGGCCGCGGCCTGCCTCCTGATTATGTGGTATCCTAGCGACAGCCAACAGGGTGCCTACGGAGTCCCCGTGCAGAGCGGCGTGCTGATTGGACAACAGGATCCTCTCTAATGAAGATGATGGTAATGATTTTACTCCGTCTCTCCCCTCCCCCTCTGCTGCTGCCTGAATACTGAATTTTTTTATTTTTTGGGATGCATGGACCTTCTGAAATGAGGTAGGCTGTAATCATCACATACATTTTTTATATATATTTTAGGGGGGGGAGGTCAAATCCATGGTAATGAGGTATTTTAAATGACAGCTCAGAGATAGCCTCCTCTTCATTTTGCTTAGTTTAGGTCTGGAAGCTGAAAACTGGGAGCTACATTTCCATTTTAGTGCCTAAATTTGAAGACTGCACGTCTACAACACGCCATTTATAGAAAGCACTACTTCCAGCAATAACCGGCAGCTCTGAGTGGGCCAATTTTGTATCATAACAATCAGCTATTGACAGGAGCAGTGACTTATAGCCCGACTGAACATCTAACCCATTATCTCACTAACAGGACAGTAATCACCATCAATTTTATGACAAGACTGACACTGAGGCTAGAGAGTAAAAAAAAAACAAAAGAAAGAAAGATAGAAAGGAATTGTGATCCGTAGTAAATGCAGTAAATGTGTTATTTGAGGTACTGGTAGGTTAAATCTTTAACTAAATTTACCCTATTCCTGCTAAAACGACAGTAGTCAATTAACAATATAAGGAATCTATGGAGGTCGCTGCAGGAAAGCATCAACCCACTCATTTATAGCGCTTATGGAAATTAAATGTAAAACAATAAGAGTAGAAAATTGCGATCCCCTCATAAAAGTGAAATGGGATAGCTTTCAAACCTCTCTTTAATGACAACAGGATTCATTTACGTGGAACGAGGTAGATAAAACCAGAGGATAATGGCATACTTATGGTCTGCCCCACCACATTAACTGTCTGGCTGTATGAAATGTTGCCATCTGAATGGTTTGCTGCTGCAGCGTGGTATTGATTGGGGCCAACCGTGCATGAACCTCATTGATTATTATCTTCTCATTAGCATATAGATTAGCTGGCAGGGCGTCCCAAAAACAAAATCGCAAGCCTGGAGTCTCACACTTGGCTGACGGAGCCGTGCAGCAGATGGGGGTCAAAGCGCGAGGGGGAGAATGGGAGGGACCCTGAACTGCTACGGGACGCTCGGATAAACAGAGAGCGGTTGCAGTGAAGAAGAAGAAGAAGAAGAAGAAGAAGAAGGGGTGGTCCGGCGAGGGGCGTTAAAAACAAACAAACCCTGCCTTTTGTTCAAAGGGCGTTCAAGCTCATGATCGATTTGAAGAGCGCTGACGCCTAACGAGCTCTTCTGGGGAGCGGTGTGAAAGCAGGAACGATCCAGGAACCATATGAGTCCTGCTGCCGGCCAGTGTAGTAAAAAGTTTGTGATCCATCTGAAAAGCTTAAAACAAAACAATGTGAAGTGAATGAATGTATTCGTCGGATGTCTTTGGTTCGGTCTGTTTTCAATCACGTTTGGGGAGGAGTGCCTGTTTATATCACTAATTAATTATTAATCAATTAGTTCATTAATTTTTATGGACAAAATGTTGAATTTTCTTTTCTTCATTGCAGATTTGGGGATGCAGACTAGCCCCTGGAAGAAAAACGGTTATTGCAAAGTACGCATTAACTCCGCAGCACAGCAATTTACACAGACGCAAAACAAGAAGAAAGAAACCAACTGTGCCCGACGTGTCCGTGACGGTAGGGTTGATGAAACAACGTTTTAAAGAACTGGTCCGAGACCCTCATATGTCAGTATTTGCTGCTTTTCTTGGTTTTATATCATTTTTTAAAACAAGCAACTTTTTTCATAAATAAAACATTTTTTTAAATTGAAAAAAGAATCGCCTGATTTACACGCAGAAGTTCCTTGTAGCCATTATGTTATACGACCAAAATCTAACTCCTAACAGACAACAATACATGTCACCTGCATTTGGGTTAATTTCTGAGAGGGTCTGACCTATTAAAGCCAACAGTAGAAGTCCACATCTTGTGCTCCACAAAGCAGCATTTCTTTGGTGAGGCTGGGGTCATCCCCTGAGGCCGACGATGGTGGATGGGCGCTGCCTTTGTTAGAGTACGTAAGAGAGAGAGAGAGACCCTCTGATCCCGAGGAAAGATTGGTCGGGTCGCCGTAATTGAGCCATCTGACTCGGACGGACCTTTTCCTTCCACAGCTGAGTGGACCGGCACAAAGAGACTCTGGAGGCTTTCCAGGTGAAGCGTGCTGAGCGTGTGTGTACCATACCAACACATAGACTCAAGCTGTGAAGATACAAAACACTTTCGCTTGACTCTCCCCAGCAGACTGCGCTCTTTTATTTAGTAAGGCCCTGGCATGTGAAGAGCAGACTTAAAAACTCAAAATAAACAGGTGATGCAGACAGAACAGCGCAGAGACAGACGGAGAGGGGGCAGCAGAATGACAGATGAATGAAAAAGATTCTCCCTCGGATCTAAAAATACCACATTTAATAGTTCTGGCAAAGCCTGGAGATTAGGAATACACTTCAATCCAGACCGTTCTATCAAAGCAGTCTCTGAGGCTTCACTCTCAGGCGTCGATCAAACCAGGAGGAGAAAAAAAATAGGTCAGGTGTGAGCCGAGATGAGCAGCGGCACAGAAAAATGTAGTGCTTCACTGCTTTCATCAGAAACAAGCGTTTTCAGTTTCCATCAACGCCAGCAGAGGACGAGCCAGACTTTAAAGTTCATTTAATTCAAAAGGGATAACAGAGAAGCCTTTGGGTCACTGGAGACTCATAACTTTCAAGTAGCTTAGTGAAACTAATTGAGATATCTGCTAGGATTTCTTTCTTTATTACCTTTTGTGTGGATTAGAGGACTGTGCCCAAAATGACGCACTCAGTTATTTAATGAGGGGTACAAATGATAGCTACTCAATTTATTTTCCCATGATGAAAAGATTTCTTTTCATTTGCAAATATCGTATTGTTATAACAAATATGCCACGTCCTGATATAATGCTTTCCTGCTAGAAACCTGACTGCTTAGACCTCAGACAGCCGGCGGGGGGGCCGTTTCTGGCCCTTCTTATTTAAATAAAATGTTCTATTTGTATTTTATTTGGTGCAAAATAACGACAAAGGTCAACCTAATCATCTCTAAGCTCCCTGAGACGCATACGAAGGTCATCACTGGGTTTTTTTAGTGATGAAATTAAAATGTTTTTATATTCTATAGACTTCTGACAGTTGAAACTCACCTCCTGTGCACTGCCGAGGTGCCCTTGAGCAGAAACCCAACCCCAAAAAACTGCTAATGTGGCAGCGCATCACTCCACCATCTCTCTCCACAAGCCCTACGTGTGCATGAGTGCGCAAAAAAAAAGAAAGTAGTGAAAAGAACAATTTCTCCAATAGAGGATTAATAAAAGTACATCTTAAATCTTAAAAACTAATTAAAAGCAACAAAAAAAAAAAAGGGATATACCATGAAACTCTTATGTTGATGTCAATAACAAAAGCCTTTTTTCATATGAAGTTGACCAACAGAACTACAGTAACAGCGCTGCTCGGTGCCGAGGACTACAAATCACTGCTCCATTCGCTGTACTGAATATAAACACTAGTTTTTTAAGTGCCTGCAATCACTTGACAGGGTGAGTACAGATGACTTCACCTCAGGAGCAGAAAACATCTGTTCGGGTAAAACATCTGTGCTCTTGCATCTTTCCAGCAGGCGGCTCGTTGAAAGGCTTCACTGTATCACGCTGGCTGTCGGCGGGAGACAACAAGCTTTTTTTATGCAACAAAAAGGGCGACTCTGCACCTTCAATCATCACAACGCCTGTTATCACTGCAGCCGTTCAAAGCTGACTACTGAATGTCACATTTAAATACAAAATACATTCTCTAGAAGGATCAACACACTTGGCACAGCATAATCAATCACAATATGGATCCTGGTACTAACGTATCTTAACAGTTCAGTCCCGATGTCGTGCAGACCTACTGACAACCCGGCTGTGACTGCGATGGAAACCGTTGCTGTGACTGACTCACCTTGTGTGAGTGTGTCACCGATGAAAGCGTGCCCAGGTAAGAGGAAAACATCAGCCCCGTTTCCGCCGAGTGAATCCATCAAGTCTCACTGATTGTCTCTAACAGGCGCAGAGCAAAGGGCAGCCGAGTGCAGCGTGGGTACAGCTCAGGGAGCGGCGGCGCCGTCTCGTATGGAAATGTTTGAATGCAGAGAAACAGAAAACGTGACGATGCTTCGTAGCTCTCGCTCTCTCAGGAAATAAACAAATCCGCAGAGCACAGAACGATTGATTTGAATAACAGCTTACTGCGTTAGACCAGGTGTCGACTGTAAGAAGAGGCGTGCAGGTAGTTGTGTCTGGCTCGTTTTCCCCGGCTGTGTGTTTAAAAGAAGTCACTCTATTCCTTAATAACAGCTTGGCAGCCTTTTAAGTGGATAAAGAAAGCTCCCCCTGCAATTAACCCCGCAGCTTCAGGACAATCAATGAGTCAATGAGCTTCCTCGCTGAGGCTGCTGCTGCTTAGAATTCTTGAAATAAGTAAATAAGTAAAAAAGTAACAAGGGGTGTAATAAAACTTAAAAAAATACACAGTACGGTCTATATATCAGCATTGTTCGCTTCTGTGATAAAGTAAATTCATTCTTTTAGTTTAGATTATTATTTAAGACGTTTAAGAGCTGAACACACGCTACTGTTACAGTTCTTTCACTTTCTGAACTGCCATCAGAATAAAACACTGAATTTGTAAAAACAAAAACAAAACAGGCTCATAAAAAGGAGTTAAGATTGTTAAAAATAGAAAACAAACAGAGAATTGTATAAAAAGTTCCC